GGGTTAATAACAATAGAGCCTGTAAAATTTGTTTAATTTCCAATGTTAGTAAAGAGAGTAGAGGGAGGGGAAAAGGGAAATTTTATGAAAAAGGAAAATAATCTGTCAATGTTATTTTCCATTAAAAATAATAAAACCTTTATGTGAAATGATGTGAGAATTTTTCATGAAGAATGGTTGATGAACAATCATAATGATGAAATCAAATGCAAGGGAATTAGCGTTGGAGCAAATTTGTGAAGCAGATGGAAAAAAGGCAATATGCTTTTTAAGGTGAAGGTTTACATAAGACCTGTCTGTTTTGGGATAAAAGTAACTTGACTCAAGGAAGAAAGAAACCAGTAAATGCTCTAATACCCTACTAGTGCCCTGTGGGTCTCTACAGACCAAGCAAGTGTTCCCAAGAGCTATCTTTTGTCTTGCCCCGCCGCCTAACCTGGCATAATAATGGCTAGCTTGCTCTGCCACATGAAGGCAGAACTCAGGACTCACAGCCCAGGAGTAATGAGAGGAAAACTAGGACCGAAAATGGGCTGGGTAGAGAGAGAGTTAGACAGAAAGTGGATTGATGGAGATTTCAGAGGAGGAGGTGATCCATTCTTCTCTGTTTACTATGACCCTGCTCAGTCAGAAAGAAGTAGCTGGGCTCTTTAGTTTAAGCTGTTATCTGCTTTGGAGAGGGCAAAGCCAATTCTACGAAATTAAAAACAAGAAAACAACAACCCATAAAGATGGTGGTGGTGTGTGTGTGTGTGTGCGTGTGTGTGTGTGTGTTGGGGGGCGAACACTGTATAATTTGTTGTCTAAACTGAGACACATTTGGAAATAAGAGGGACCATTGTTAATACTTATAGAAGGACAGTAGACCTAAGCCAGGACCGTCCTGGAAAATCAGGATGTATTATCACCTCAGAGAGACATTGCTAAGCCCTGAATGGCGCTGATATTTTTCAGTCTCCAAGAAGGCCTGTGGGTAGCTTACTTTATTTAAGGTACTGTTTCTTGGTATCTCCTATTCCCTTAGACAAAGTATTATTTGTGGAGAGAGAAAAATCTGTATTATTCTTCTTGAATTTCTCTCTCAAAATAGGAGAAAAGTCTGTAAGCGGGAGGTAGGTACAGAAGTATTCCATATTTTATTCCAGGCATGTTTAAATGAATGAGGTCTTTTGCTTTTCAGGTTATTTTCCCTTTCTAAATTGGTTATGAATTTCATTATTAGTGAGAGTACAAGTTTTTCTTTTAGCTTTCCTACAAAACCAAGGAGAACTGGGGGGCACATAAAGTTTGCAATCTCCCACAAATGAGCCTACATATACATTGCTATCTATATTAAACCTATACATTCTATTTTCTGTATAAACTTTGTTAGACAACATGGCTTTAAAAATATTGGACATTTGGAGGGTAATAGAGTATTCTGTACCAATTTTTCATTTAATAAAAAAAGTTTAAATATTTTACTGCTTAAATAAAGAGAAGGAATGAGAGTCAGAAAAATCTCATTTTCCTTAGTTTCACTCATTATAGCTCAACTTACTTTGTTTTTCTAATGTTGGCAGACACAAACATAGAGCCTGGTAGATACATTACATTTTCTATGAATATGTTCTAGCAAAATTCAGAGCATTTTCAAGATATTATTCGAGTAAACTAAAATTTCAAAATCAAATTTGACAATTTAGCAAAACCTATTTGACAATGGTTGCGTGTCAGGTAGGAATATTTACTGCCTAGTTTCTTTCTGTTTTCCAATAAGTATACACAAAATGTTAAGTTATCCTATTAATATTCTCTTTTTAAAAATATTTATCCAAAGTTTCCTTGTAGTCCTATGTTAGAAACTTAGCTTTATCTTTAACAGATGTATTTACAATATATGAAAGTGTATCTACAATATATGAAAGTATATCTACAATATATAAAAGTGCCAAGTTTCTAGTCTAATTTTTAGATACATTTTCATCCCCCTGGGAACTTTTATATGAATGCAAGAAGAGAATAATCATGACTTTATGTGACTATTGAGCACATTGTCCTTTTTTTTGTTTTTTGGTAAGTTTTTACTTTTAGGAAATCTTAGTGTTGGAGTAGTTCAATGATCATATACTTTATCAAACTTCATAGGTTAAAATGCAATGAAAATTTACCCCAAATAATAACTTGATTGCCCTTTATTCTACAAATGGCACACCTAAGAACATCCCTGTCTATGTGCATTCGAATTGTGGCCCAGTTATCCAAGACAGAATTATAAAACAGTCATTAGAATATAACAAAAATTAATGAAAATGGAAAATTATATTGATGCAATCAGAAGAATATTTTTTCTTAAAAAAACTTTTAAGTAAAATAAAAAACAATTTCCTGCACAGCTGTTATCAGTATATACTTATAGTTTAATTTCTATTCCACCTTGAAAAAGTTAAGAAACTGTGATTTGGAAACAGGTCCCTTTTTGTTAGATGTTTATTTTTGCTTGTTTTGAAGGCAGAGTCTTGCTCTGTCACCCAGGCTGGAGTGCAGCGATGTGAACATGGCTCACTGCAGCCTTGCCCTCTGGGGGCTCCAGCAATCCTCCTGCCTCAGCTTCCCAAGTAGCTGGGACCACAGGCCCACACCACACCTGGCCAATTAAATTTTTTTTTGGAGAGGTAGGCGTCTTTCCATGTTGCTCAGGCTGGTCTTGAACTCCTGGCCTCCAGCAATCCTCCTGCTTTGGCCTCCCAAACTACTGGGGTTATAGGCATGGGCCACTGTGCCAGGTATTTTTTGAAATCCATATTTTCTTGACATGAGGTAGCTTTTTAGCAGCATTTTGGGTGCTGTTCCCCAAACACAGTGTTGTTTGGCATGATACCAGATTGCAGGATATCCTAGTCAACTAGGAGAATTATATGTTGTTGCAGTTGCAGGTGCTGTTACTAATGCAGTAGGCGAGAAGTACAGCAATTTGAAAAGAGGCAGATTTTTACAGGAAAGAAAATAGATACCCAATCTCATTGCTGATCAATTTCCTCCTACTTAAGCAACATTAAGGGGATTTTATTTATCAATAAGCTATTAATTACCAACATTTACAGAACCAATTCAAATTTACCGGATGTTCCTAAATTATTGTTTTGTTATTATCACCTGGTTAGCTGACTAATTTTAATTTTCTCCGTAAGGAATTAGGAAGCATTCAAATAAGAAATTATAGAAAAATTGATAGTGATGCAGAAGGTATGAAGGTATTAAATAGGTGCTACTATCTTAAGTCTAAAAATATAAACCTTATGCAGAATTAGCCTTTGGTTCTACCAGCAATTTAAAAAAACCTGTTGTCTTAACAGTTTTAAACTTACGGTAGCAGGACTTGCTTTATCTACTTAACTTGGGGAAAATAAAAATAAACATATCCATGGTAGATACATTAACACTTTCTATGAATTTATTTTAATGGAATTCAAAGTATTCCCTAGATATTACTAAAACAAGGTAAAATTTTAGCAAAAAAACCAAAACCACATCCACCTACTTGTAGAAAACTGGCTCCAAAGAGGTAAATGGTGTGATAACTTGAGATGGTGTTCCAGTGGTAATTTTCTCAATATTTTGGTATTATTGTATGTTTAGGTGTTTGCTCTTAATCTTGCAAAAAAGCAATTATGACTTTATCCAGAATGATGATTTTTTCCCCATAAAGAGATTCCTGTATTAACTAATCTTTTCATTTTGATTAAATTTAAAACTTCTTTAAATCAAACCTAATTTGCATTGACAACACAAAAAACCTTTGCTATTTATTTGCAAAGATTTTAAGGAAAATCAGAACTTTTGCTCCTAGAATTTGGAATGCTTTTTAGACGGAGTAGAAATTTTCCTGCTCCAATGGGCATTTGTTATGTCAATGTAATTACTGTCTTTGAGAATAAAAGCAGATCTGTAGGGGAGTGTAAATTTGGATCTAAGAATTGTTTTAGGACAAGGTTGTTTTACTTTCTCATTTTTAGAGTTAGTTTGAAGCCTACATAAGTTATATTTAAATTCATACTATTTAAGGGACAAATATGATTTGGCTATTTGTCTTAACTTAGATGATTTTTTAATTGCACTTTTTCTACTTAATAAAAGTGAAATAAAAAGGAAAAGAAATTAAGAGATAGAGTATAAATACAAGAATATAGCAATTCCCAAACCTAGGTGCACATTGAAATCACCTAGGGATCATTAAAAAATACTGATGCCAGGCACCCATCCAAAGAAATTCTAGTGTAAATGTTATGAGATATGATATTGGCATTAGCATTTTTAAAAGCTCTCCAGGAGATTCTAATGTACAACCTACTTTGGGGACTACTGTCCTAGAAAATATTAGAGGCTAAATGTAAAATAGAAAGCACAGGGCCTTTCAGAGTTTCAGCTGTAGACTTGGAGGCTTTGTTATCTCATTGGAGTTAGGACAACTGAAATGTTACAAGTACTTCTGATTGTGATTGAAATTTACCTGATTTTGATTAGAATCTTGCCTGCTTTTGGATTACAGAATTCTATTAAGGAGTTGACAAAATTTTCCATGTCTTTGTGTTTATGTTTTCCTTTGTGTTCTGTAAATTTTTGTTTAAGGGCCAAGGGATTTTTTTGTTTGTCTGTTTTTTGAGACGGAGTCTCGCTCTGCCGCCCAGGCTGGAGTGCAGTGGCGCTATCTCCACTCACCGCAATCTCCGCCTCCCGGGTTCACGCCATTCTCCTGCTTCAGCCTCCCGAGTAGCTGGGACTACAGGCGCCCGCCACCGCGCCGTGCTAATTTTTGTATTTTTGGTAGAGACGGGTTTCACCGTGTTAACAAGGATGGTCTCGATCTCCTGACCTCGTGATCCGCCCACCTTGGCCTCCCAAAGTGCTGGGATTACAGGCGTGAGCCACCGTGCCCGGCAGCCAAGGGATTTTAAAAAATGAAAATTCTAGTACTGTGTCTTAAACCACTAATGAGACTGATGTAGGAGTAACAGGTATTTGGTGTTGGACTTAGATTATTTATGTTTGAACAAAGCAATCATTTACAAGTATGGCAAGAAAGTAGTGCCTTCCCTTTACCTCAGTTCCGGGTTTTGTGGCGCCGTTGCCCTCCCCCACTTCATCATCAGATGTTCCTGGAGAAGAGGTCCAGGACTCTAGGGTGAATATCGTAAATAACACCCATGCTGATTGTCTGAAACAGTTTCTAATCAGCAATGATTGATGTAAGATTTTTCTGTGGCAGCTTCAAGACAAAAGGACTCAGGTATGGTGAAGCTGCCTGATACTTATTGAAACAAAAAGGAAGGAAAGTTAGAGGATTTCCAGGCAAATTTAAAATAAATGGGTTAGATAATTCAAAGCTAACCCCAAGTTAATATAACTGTCTCTAATTGCTAGTTGGTGGGGTGGATACTGCAACAATATCAAAGAAATGAGAGCAAATCTGCACTTCTCTCTTTAAAATGACTTTTCAGTCAATTTGCTGAAAGGAAGAAGTATCATAAATGATATTCTGTATATCTGATTTACTTTTTTATGATATTAGGTAGGAAAAAAATGAGTCTGAGATGATGAAAATCAATCACTATGAACAAGTCAAAAAATTTTAAATTAGAAAAGGTCATCTCATGTTGGCATGATTACTGGAAAAGGTAGGAGTTCTAGGGAAAAATAGGTGTGGACTAATGAGCTGAATAAACAATGGGGCCTGTATTTGTTTCGACCATATCTACAACATATCATATCTATTTCTAGGAAGTCCCCATGGGCTGCAGGGGACAGGAAGATCCTGATCTGTGACAAATGGACTGGATGGAATTTTCATGCTGAAGAGAAGTTGAACCCACAAAATCTTGGATAGTCTTTCATGAGCTCAGCCCTGCAATCACGCCCCATACGGTGAGCCATGGTGCATGCATTTTGAAAAGCAGCCTCCTCCCTTCCCTTTTCCTCTTTGTGACTTTGTGTATCACAAAAGCAGCTGTGAGCCAGAGGTAAGACTCTGGAGTTTACTTGGCTTCCCTTGATTGTTACTGACTGCCCAGGTCTGCTCCGTCCCTCCCAACTCTTGCCAGCTAAAAGATCTCTCTCCACTCTGGCAGGATTTGTAAACATGCTCCCCAAACACTCAGGAACATTGGAAGAACAACTTTTGGGGCAGCTTTCTGTTAAACAAAATGCTCTTTAACATTTGATTTCATTTCAGAATAACGTTCTTACATTCTTCTGATTCTACAGTCGTGAACGCTCTTCACCATTCTACAATTGATATAAACTATACTGTCTCTGGAAAGGCATTTCTTTAGGAAAGATATTATTTATGATCATTGGGGGACCGAGTTAGAGGTTTTTTTTTTTTTTTTTTTTTGTTTTTTTTTTTTTAATAGAGTTTTGTGTGTCTTATTCTTAAATTTAAAAAAGTATCTTCAGAAGGCGCCATATCCATCCCCTCGAGCAGTCACTGCAAAAGTTGGGTAGACCTCATAGGTTGTATATGCTGCTAAGTCTTGTCCAAGGGTTACCGCTTGCTTGAGCTGGGCAGCAGACACAGGTGCAGTTGCATTAGGGACAGCATATCCTGGAGGAAGAGGCAGAGAAAACTTCATGAAAGGAATTCACATTTGCTCCCTTTTGGCTTATTTGTCTTCTTTTAGACATACGAACTTTTAACATATTACTTAAAGCTAAAAGTTAATATGTATGTTTTAAAAAGTGCCCTTAAGGACACAATATGTGGACTCAGTGATTTTCAATCACATTCAAAAAGTCCTAGGACAATGTTCCCAAAAGTGGGATCAACCACCTGTGTCAGAATCACTTCATACTTAAGAGAATTAAAGATGCTTGGGATAGGGCCCAAGAAAGAGAAACTTAACAGGAGGTTGAGTTGATTAAAGCTTGTGATTTATAACTTTTTGAAGGTTGCCAAATTTATAAATGAGAAAAGGTGACTGAGGGGCTGGCCGGGCATGGTATGTGGGGAGGTGGGGCTCTGTGGGACCGGTTCTCCTGCAACCCCACACCTGCCTAAATGAAACATTTAAAACATTTGCCTTTTAAATGTGTAGAAGATGTGTAGAGACTGGGAGATCAGTAGGAGAAATACTGTAATGGTTAAGTGTAGTTCTCCATAATACCTTAAAAGCAAATGCCTAACCTGTCCATATTTAGATCTAACTATGAATGGCAGAAGACCTTCGTACCTCCCAAGCCCCTCATCAAGCCTGTGCTTGGTGTATTCAGAGGCCTTGATACTGGTTCTCCCCCTCAGAGAACCAAAGTATCCAAGAATTAAAAAAAAAATCTATGCGCTTTCATGTTAGCATTGTGTCTAGTGGATGAACATTCACTTTTGAAGAAGAGAGCATGTTAGCTACCATCTAAAGCATTATTTCTCTGCATTGTTTTAGTCTAAAAACCTGAGTATTTCTGAGATGATCCAGAAATTATAAAAGATAACAAGAGAAAGACAGAAGTGTACTTAAGTACAAATGGACACCTGTTTTTCATTGTTGTTTTAAACCTCATTTGGTTTATGTGCGGTAGAAGCCTGCCCAACCCCAGACACATTGATTTTTTTCTGGTGGCTTCTCAGAAAGTGGTGGCAGGAAGCTGGTTGGATTATTTTGAACAAAAATTGAATCCGTTCTTGGCGCATTCACTTTGGTCAGTAATGCTGATTAATGCACTAGAGAAGTTTGGTCCATTTTCCAAGGATAGGAGACATGTGTTAACAGTTACTTTCATAATTTTGGAAACAGTATTTCTAAACTAAGTGAGTAATATAATTGTGTGAGCGTGTGCACACATGCATGCGTGTGTTCGTGGCACAGATTTTACCTTTAGGGATTTTGAATTTTGTTTTTCAACTTGGTCAATTTGTTAAGTGCCAGGGTGTTTTGGGTTTCAAACCGATTCTTCCCTTGGAGCCTATTATTCTTTGCTTGACTCCACAGCAAAGTTATAAGAGAGGCTCTCAGATTCTTAGGCATTCCCCAGACAACACTCATACCCCAAATATTTTTAACTTTTCACAGAAGCCAATAGAAGTGAGAATAAGATAAAACATTCTTGGGTAAAAGCAAATCCTTTCCAACGTGAAAGCAAACTTTGAAATTCTTCTGACAGTGGCTCATTAGTTTAATAGTACATTTGTTAGATGTCTTTGGGGTGCAGCTTTCTGCAAGACAGGGGCTCAACTTTCTCTAAGAACTGAGAAGCCCTAGCAGGCGTCCTGAGTACATGGACATGTAAACACCCTGTTATGTGGAAAGCAAGCACCGGCTGCTGGCCCCGCACTGCCCAGGAAGGACCTTGCCCTCTGCAGTGTCAGCTATTACCTTGGTAACCTCCGAGGGACTCACCACAGAGCGTCTCCATGTTCTTACAGAGAAACAAAGCCAGAATTGAGGTCACTTTCAGATGTGAAACATCATTAATATTAGCCTCACTGACCAGAATGGAGGATATATTCACAACTTTTGAGAAAACAAAACAAAACAAAATGCTGAGAATGAGCCCCAGGTGCAGTGGGTGTGAGGAAAATATAAAATTTCTCACACCTACACATGACCAGTATATGAATTAATTAATCGATAAGAATGTCATGTTTCTAGGTATACTTAGAGCTCTAATTTGGACTTATGTGGAACATGCTGACACAATGACAAATCAAAATGATAGATTTCTTCAATAGAAATAATCTTTTACTAAAAAAAAAAAAAGGATAAAATTTTCATCTGAGAAAAAATTTTCTAAACAACTTTCTTCGTGGTCCCCTTCAGTCTCTAAAGGATTCATTTTTAATTGTTACCATTTGTTGTGGGTACATAATAAATGGGGACAAATCTTTTAACATGTGACCTCTGAACGCATTGTTGATCCACAGATAGGCTTTGCTTTAAGCAATCAGCATATGCCCCAGACCAAAATTATAGAACAAATAAGTTGAGTCCTGATTATTCACATATTGAAAGGCTCTCTGTCTGTCTCTCACTCTCACACACACAATTTTTGACTTTAAAAAATCTCTTTTGGAATCAAATTAATAAAAGTAGATTGAAGATTGGAGAGGGAGAAAAAAATTGCTGAAAAGCTAATTGCCATTGGCCAAATTACTTAATCTTTTCATACATGGGCTCTTCATTTGTGTACTGGACTTGCTGATGGAACCTAACTCTTGGTGGTATCATGAGCGTTACTAAGATATTATAATGCTTCCTGACCATTTAGGTGAGTGCCTAGCACACAGTAAGAGCTCCAGTAAACATCATATATCTACAGGTAGTTTCAAACTCTCTTACTAAAAGTAAAAACCAAAACAAACCAGACTCAGAGAGACTGACTCATTCAAGATCACACAGCAGTTTAAAGCTGAGCCGAGACCAGAACCCACTCTGTTGCCCAGCTTGATTTTCTTGCCTTGTGTTTTAATGAGTCACTCGTTTGGGAAACTCTTTTTGGTCCCAAGGTGGTGCAAGTCAGATTGCCGTAAGTGGGGTACACAAACATTTCTATGATTCAGTGGTACCAAAAAAGGGTTTCCCAAATACTCTCTGCAGGGCGCCATTTCTGGCACAATTTTCCCATACCTGGGAAAGCAGTAGCAGCAGTAGCCATGGTGCCAGCATCGCCTCCATCAGTGGGGATGCCCAGGGTCTGCAGGGTGTATTCAGCTGCGTACGTCTTTGCTTCATCCACATAGGCACTCAGCTTCGGAGGTGTGAAAGGGTGGCTGGAAAGCAAGTCAGTCAGGGTAGGCATTTTTAAACTGGTACAACTGAGTCAGGTGAAAACCTAAGGCACTATCAGTTTTGTAAAATGACTGGATGGTGGTTTTTTGAGTGGGTGTTTTACATTCTGTTTGCTATTAAAGCTTCTAAATATAGGTTGCATGTAGGAATATTTACAAATTGATCTAGAACATCAGTGGTTTATGACATTCCTGGGACATACAAATAATTCACTACATGCCTTTTCTAAAGCACAAGTGAAACAAATTGTTTCTAAAAGATATAGAAATGCAGGCTCATGGTAAAATTCGGGAGGTGATATCCGCTAACAGAGAGGTCATATATTTGGTCCCAAATTAAATGATGGGCCATTGTCTTATTATGTATAAAAATGGTAATTTCATATGCTTCAACTTAAACATTGCACAGATGAAATAATGGGCTATAGCTTTGTTTGTTTGAAATGGAGTCTCACTCTATTGCCCAGGTTGGAGTGCAGTGGCATGATCTCAGCAACCTCCACCTCCCAGGTTCAAGTGATTATCCTGTCTCAGCCTCCCTAATAACTACGACTACAGGCGCCTGCCACCACACCCGGCTAATTTTTGTATTTTTAGTAGAGATGGGGTTTCACCATGTTGGCCAGGCTGGTCTCAAACTCCTGACCTCAAGTGATCTACCTGCCTCAGCCTCCCAAAGTGCTGGGATTATAGGCATGAGCCACCGCGCCCAGCCAAGAATGGGCTATAGTTTTTATTTCTATTACATTTTACACTACTGACTGTTTTCCAATGGTTGGTGATACTACACAACCTTCATTGTGTATATGAAATTTGGGGGCCTTTATATGCCAGCTTCATGGCTGGCACATCCCAACTATACATTTCAATGCTTACATTTAATGACAAATGAGTAGGTAGTAGACCTCAGTATCTTGTTTAGATGGTGATTAAGTGCATTTAATTTAGAAGCGTATCCTGCTCTAAAATGGTAAGGAATTTGGAGAAGTTACGCACATTGCAGGATTCTGGCTGGCTAGGGCAGGAATGGTTATTTTGTATAAGAATAGTTGTCTTTGGTCTTGTCCAATGGCAGAGTGCAGCTGGTACACTGGCTGTCCCCAGTTATTTTTCTGGCAAATCTCTTCTAATATCTACAAGAATAAAAAAAGTTATTTTCCCCTCAAATGACACATTCACATTATATCCCAAGTTTTCAGATTTTTAAACTCTAATTTTCAGAGTTCAAGCTAATATCAGAAGATATAAAATGCCACATGGTTTAATGACTCATAAAATTTAAGATGAACTCAATTTGAACTCCATTTAAAATGTTAGGTCTATTAGTTCATAAAATCACTTTCACACCATTTACTGTAATATATTTTTAGTTTAGTCCATTAGCTGTAACTTTTTACCAAAAGCTTAATTTTATGATTTGTTTGGAATATTTGTTTTTGTAAAAACTGTTGCTCCAACACTGTGTGCATAGATTTGTATAGATTTACTCATTATTACCCTCAGTCTCTGTGTTTATAATCGTTTAGAGATGATAACCTAAGAATATATTTTTATTTCATGTCATTTGCCATAGGGTTTTAATCTCACAATTTCATAAAAATAGAATTAAAAAGTTTAATGGATTGGTATTTACTGAGCATTCCTAGACGGGTGTTGACAGTTGTAATGTTTTTATTTGTTTGGTAAGACACTATTTCTGGCTTTTTTTTTTCTTTTGCTTAATGACAATATGCTTTTTAGCATCCTCCTGCACGTTGTTTTCTTCTGTAATTACTCCAAACTGAATATTTTCTAAAGATTCATAGTTTCTTTATTCTGAAGCAATTTTTGGTTGTCCAGAGGTCCTGACGCTCTCGTTAGTCAGCAGATTCAGTAGACTGTGGAAAGCAGGGCATAAGGCTGAGAAAATAACTCTGGAAGACAGAACAGTGCCTCAGGATGTGTCTCTGGGGTTTCTTACCTCATTTATGCTAACTAACCCAGCTGCAATAGCATGATATTTTCCAGTTTATTAATTTGTAGATTGTTCCTATTTTCTCTATTGACATTTTCTTTTTAATACTCTTGTTGTGTAGGATCTCTTGTCATCCTCAGAGCATTCTCTACAGTTCTTGGGCAATAATAATGGAGCTTTTGCTGGTAGATATGATGCCTGCCTGTTTATGCCAGGTGAGCAAACCCGGGTGGAAGGAACACCAGCTCTCACTGCTGACTTTGCAGGGCAGTATTTGTCTCTGCTTCTGGCTGGAAGTTTATAACTCTACTTTGGGGTTGTTTAGGCCCCATCTATATTGGTTGGTGGTGGCATGGTGTTCATTTCTAAGCCATAGTTGTAGAAGGTCAGAGAACAATATTATTAATTTGTCTTTTGTATAAGAATAGTTGTCTTTGGTCTTGTCCAATAGCAGAGTGCAGCGGGTACACTGGCTGTCCCCAGTTATTTTTCTGGGGACAGAGACACTTTTATTAATTGATAGAGATTATTACTGACATATTAATATAAGACATGATGAATTTCTAACTTGAGTTTGATGTGAAACAAAGAGATCTCTTTTCATACTATCACAGCTATCAGAACTACTATTATACAGAATTTGTGTCTATTATTTTTTATTTTCTTAAAAGATTTCTAAGGATTCCAGTACTTTAATCAGGTTCTTGGTTTTGGGTTTTAACCCAAGAGAAACTGGGTGACTGGCTTTTATATTTTCTGAACAAACTTCATCATATCACTTCCAGATTTCATTATGGTTATATGTTTATGTGTCAGTTTTTTTCCCACTGGATTGCCATCTAATTTTTAGTGGTAAGGATTTCTTTATATTCACTTCTGCATCTCCAGCACCTAGTGCACTACATGGTGCATAAGAGAAGTTTACTAAATCTTTTGTGAACAAACAAATGATTGCTGTTTAGCACTCTGGTAGGCTTTCTTTTTTTTTTAATTCCCTGGGTGGGGCTAGCAGAAACCTTAGATAAGCTAATTTGTGCATAAAAGAAAGTCAGAAATCCCATTGAAAAATTACCCCAGATGAGCTTTTAGAAAACCAAGTTTTCTTCTGGATTGAAATTATAAGGGCTACTTCCATAAATGTGGGGCTATAAGCCCACCTTTGTCATGGGAATAGGGAAGTTTCCTTTAAGACACACAAACTGTAACTGATTATTCAGCCAAAATATATTTCAGAGAGATCAGCACCTATCACACTCCCACAGGGAACAGTCTCAGGGTTAGCATAGACCCTGTTTTGTTTTATTTTTAACCCTGGGAGTCAGTTTCCGTATTGAAACTTGTATAACTTTTAATTTTCCAATAATAAAAAACACAGGTTAATGTTGAAGTATGGAAACTTAGAACTCTTAAATGAACACAAAAAAACCCCTCTCTGTAATGCCACTGCCGCAATATAACTATGGAGGAAGAGTTAATTTGGTATGACTGACGACATCTCCTAGTTAGTAATTCACCTAGATATCATGGTGGAGTTTTCTCTTAGATACAGTATTTCCAAGAAAAGATGTCCTAAATGGTCTTTTCAGGGCTCTGCCATAATGCCCTTCATTTGCCAACCAACCTGGCTCACATACAATAGGCATTTATTCTGAGATGGGGTCTTTGCCTCATTTTATTTTCATTTAGGGTATGGGTTGATAATTCTTAATAGCTCTCAGATTCTTTGCATTTCAGTGGAATATTGTTCAAGGTGTTAAGCTTTAAGATTTTTTTAAAAAGAGAAAGGACCTATAATAGAATAACGGCACCTGATGCCCAGCATTCCCTCAAAGGGTGTGACATTGATTGAATGCTTTATATATTAAAAGAAAAAAAAAACCCATAGCTTGAGTAGGGATCAAGTCAAATCATTTGGTAAAAGTGAATGATGCTCATTGGCACAACTTAAAGAAACTATTTCTGGAATAACATTACCTACCTGGGGAGCGAGTTTAATTCCTTGGGGTTTTAACGTGACAGGATTCATTGGCGTGAGCTCCATCCCAGGTAAAATGTCGTAGAGTTTGTCTTCTCTTTTGTCTCCTTTGGCCTGGTATCCTCGACCCAGGCCTGTGTATGCCAAATAGCCACGGCCGCCCAGTCCTCTCACTCCCGCAGCCCCTACAGGTACATTCATGTAAATTTCTAGGAATGTAAGAAGGCATTAAACTGAATCAAACCACCAGAAAATCACCCTGAATCTTACTGTAATGGAAAAGTTAGCCCAATTCACGTTGATTATTGCCCTGAAGATGGGTGGGAAACTCTAGGATTCTAATGTAATGAAACTCAACATAAGGTAAGGTTTAAGATAGATGTCTTTCTCTTTTTTGAAAAACTACCTTCAGAAGAAAGCCATGCCACTGATAAGTACAATACTGTTGATAAGTACATAAGCAACTTAAAAATGTTGGGAGAGAAATTTTGCAATTTTTGTCTTTAGGTTACCTTTTCTTGATATTTTCTTGATATTTTCTAATATAGACTAATAAAGACTGGGAATGTATTTATTACAACATTCCAACATAATGCGACCACTTGTTTTGAAATCAGTCTTGCATAGAGACTGTCGCTGATCAGTATATTAGAAATAAATTCTGGCATCTCTAATTATCCCACCTCCAGTGACTTATTGGAAAACAAGCATTTAGAAAGCATGCTTTTAGGTTCACCATCCTCTCTCTGATGTTCGGTCAATGTGAGGCTTAAGTTTCCATTGAGTTTCATGCATAGATTCCTTTTGATTTTTGTTTTGCCATGTTGCTACTTTGATTTTATGTTGGTGGCATAGAGATACAAAATTAAATTGATTACCCTTCATCCATGAATATCATTCATTGATTCCTTTCTTGTTATAAGATAGGCATTTTTTTCCATTATAGTGGAGTTTGTTTTTTTCTACATCATAACTGGTTGACAATTTGTATTTAATGTAAGGATTGGTTAATGATGTGATTTTTCATTATAAATGCATAATGTTACAATGATATAATTTATTGTCACATAGACAAGTTATGTCTTGTCTATTCTAAAGGAAATCCTGATTATTTAATTTGCATTAAAATTTTGAGGCAAGTAATTATGAGTATGAAACTTTTAAGGCCGTTGAAGACTAGAGCTCCTAGCATGATCAATTCAGTTATACTGAAAAATAGTAAAACATAGTAAGATAATTGTTTCCGCAGTAATCTAGATTTGCCTCTTTGCTTCTAAGTCAAACCCAAGAATAGACCTAAATACACAGTTTATTTATCAAATTGCCCAGATTCATGTCGTATTTAGAGGACAGAACTGGGATTCAGTTAGCATTAGCCATATCCTAGAAAAACTAATCTGAAGGAGCCAAAAAGGCAGGGACAAGCTAGTTTCTTGGAAATAAAATAAAGGCTTTCTTTATCTTCTAGTTTCCTTGAAGAAATGGAGCTTGGAAAACTACTCAAACATTTAGAATTCTTACAGGATTCAAATGTGAAATGTTTATTGTTTTATTAGCAGTCTGAGGGTTTTTTCTATTTGGTGTTTATTTAGTTCTCCATGTACTAAAGAAATACAGTAATTTCCTTAATAATTTGGTTTTTAAGAAAGTATAACACATATTCCTTGGAGGACGTCAGATGAGAACCTCTCGTGTGTCTGTTAGATTATATTTATAATACTTTGTGATTTGTATATTAAGACAATGCCACTGAGTCACCATCAAATACACACATGCCTTGAAAGGGTTTTGCTATTTGAGGTAATTGGTTTCCACTGGACTATACTAGTCTATTCCGGAAGTGTTGTAATGAGCCACAGATGACTGCACAATGGTGGACAAGTGATACAAAAGAAGCTAACAGTTATAGAACTAGGTTTTAGTTTGTGCAAATTTTATGGACCCATGTAAAGTTTGAATCTGTGCACTAGGCTCATTTGCACAATGTTCTGACCACGTTTTTTCAATAACCAGTTGTAATGTGAAAAAAGACTCCTATCAAAGGAAAACTATTGATATAATACTTGATTTTTAATAAAAAAATTTTCAGTGCTTTTCTCCCAGTGGACCCATCCAATGTATCTAAGGCTACTGCAATTCGAGTCATTTGAAATCGTGGGATTACCCTAAAGCGAGATCTGACTGGAGTTACCTCTAATAGAAGGGGCTCGGATAATGGCTCTGTTGCTGAGGTGTCCTTTGGTGGCTGGGAAATGAAGACTGGGAATTGCTGCATAAGCCTGAGGGGCATAGAAGACAGGAGCTCCAAGGTAGGTTGTGGTGGGATCATAAACTTGGCCCAAAGAGTAGGTATACTCTCCTTGCAGCATGGTGCCCCTTCCACCTGTGCCTCGGGTGTACCTAACATAACTGTCCTTGTCCACTGGTTTTGCTAGGGTGACTTCAATGGGGGAACCGTCCAGCACCTGTTGTAGAGAGCAAAGAAAAATCAACATGAGATGATACAAAGATAACCAAGTGTGGCTGAGCCCTAATAACATGATTCCTTCTAAGTGTTAGACTACTTGCTGTAGGTTTATTGATTGTATCTTGTCATTTTATAGGTTTGTGTTTGTATGCCAGTTGAAATTTTTTATGACCCATTTTGTTGGTAAGATGCATAAGATGCCAACAGGTTTGACAGTGACATATTGGCCGGTGTCCATTGACATATTCATTATAAATTTATAATCTGGTTACAGTCACTGAGACAGAAACTTATGTAATATTTTCATTAGGTCATATGTGTTTTAAATTACATATCTATATAATTATATAACTACAATAAAATTTAGTTTTGTTATGGATGGTATAAAATCTCCATTACCTAGCACAATAAGATGAAGGTGAAAGGAAACCAATAACGAAATCTTATCAATTATTAGCATTTAGCATGGGCAGCCAAATCAGGCCCATCCAGCTGATAGCCTACTAACTGCCTTGCTCCTTAAATCAGCCGCACAAGTAAATTTTCACAGGAGAAGAAAGGCATACTGTGGCTCTACCAAAGGAAGAGGAATCTGGGAGGCTGTTGCATTGCCTGCCACAGGTTCTTCCTTGTGAAGCCACCTTTTGATCTGCTGAACAGTTGGGAACTAATAAACAGGGATGACAGTGGTCAGGAGTAGTTGGGAGTGAGAGTAGTATTGAGGCTCTCAGATCATGCACCGCTTAAAACTTGTCCTCAAAAATTATTGCCACAAATTTTGAGATTGTGAACAGCTCCAGATGTCGAAGATAATGAATGTATGTAGATCTACATGTGCTACTAACTTCTATGTATTGCTTACCTACACAAGAAACAAACATGGCTCTCAACAAATTCTTGATAGATTGATGTATTTATTATCAAAGGAACAAAGTATTGTCAGAAAGCATTTGTGGCTTTTTTTTTTGAATAAGAATGTGATGATCCTCTGTTTTATATACAGAAGACTTTTATTTAAAGTGTTTCTACAGAAATTCACATTCACAGCAGCTGAGTGTGCACCCTTACCCTCTGATTTCAACCGTGACTCAGTGGTTCCTGGATTATCGAAGTCTGCTGGACAAAGCTTGTGCTTCATGGTCATCCTGACCATTTTGTTCAGCCTGTGGGTCGGTTTGTCTCCAGTATTATGTATTTACCTTACTTTTTAGTAGCAGGAGCCAGTGTCAAATAAGTTAGATGGAATACTCTGATAGAATCCAGCTGATATTCAACAATCTTATATTGATGTTGATGTAATTAGAAAAAATAGAACTGGCATACTGAAAATAGGGGAGGACCTGGGGTATAAGATTATTTATATCTTCAGTCTGATCTTGAGGAAGATGAGAGACTCAAATAGGTCTCTGCTTATAGGCACTTCCATATCAAGATACATTTTGCATGGAATGATTCTTTGCTGCAAATTCAGATTTCTTGTAATAAATTTTGTTCTGCCTTCCTCTGTCCCATCCAAAAGCATTTTAAACTCAATATTGTATTTTAGTTATTTAGTTTAGATATTTCAAGAGCTAGGACAACATCTTATTAATCAGTATAACCCAAGCTTAGTAAAATTTCTTTCACTTCACAGACTTGGAATAAATGAATAATCATTCTGAAGCTCAATTCATTATTTTTCTCTCTGAATAGGCTTCCCTTCCTGAATTTCATAACAACCTCCCATATTGGAAGCTTATAATGTCTTCTCCTTCTTTTTCACCCCTATCTCCAATCAGTTCCTGGGTCCTTTGAATTTACCCCTACTGTTCTGTACATGGTTGTCTCCCGCATTCCATTCCTACCTAAGTTCAAGACCTTATTTTGTCCCATTTGGGTGACTATAATAGCTTTATAACTAGTTTCTATGACATGTTTCTCTCACCTGTATTAAAAAGGCAATTCTTACTAGGTTAATTTTCCTAAATTGTAAATGTGATAATTACTGCACAAAAAAATTCAAGATCTCACCTTATCTAATAAATTAAATATAAATTTCTATATATATGCTCAAAAACCATAGTTCCTAGGAAAACTTACTTTAGATTTTTCCATACTGTATTATAGTCAAGTATAATATTAAATATATATTTAACTAAATAATATGTGTAAATATTACTATAAAAATATCTAGCTGCAAAAATTGGGAATAATTTGAATATGTTTCCATTGTAATTATTCCAATGTAATTATTGGCATTTAATTTGTGATGGCTGTTCCTTCCCAGCAATCATCGTGTATACTCAGGAATGTTTCCATATAGAGAAAATCGAACTTATAGATTGTTTTCCAAGTAATAACACTTTATGATATTAAATGTGATAATCAATGAAGATGAAATAATGCTTTTCTTTATAGACATGTATTTAACTATGCATTAGTTTTTGCTTTGCAGTTGTCTTTTTTGTATTTCAGAGTGAATACATTCTCCACCCCACCCTCCAGCACTCAAATATTTTTGAGTTTGAGTGGGCCCTTGAGGAGCTAATATGCAAGAGGCTTCACAGCGTCTGAAGGGTCTAGGCTAAGAGATCCTCCCTTTGCCATCTGGATCCACTCCCTATGGAATTCACCACCTACCAGCTCCAGCCTGCTCTCTGCTCTGGGAGACTATTCTACATGGGGTCCTCTTTAGCCTTCTAGATTGTGATTGGATTTAGCCAATGGGGAATGCTGGTAGGAGGTTGGAGAAAGAGACAACAGTGAATTTGGGGCATTTATTCTGCTGGATCCCTCTTTGAAAGGTCACCTTGGGCTGACTGTGTCCTTTGACCAAAATCACTACTTTTTTCTGTTCTCTTTTCTTTTTTTCCTTAATGATGGGGTTGCACTCTGTTGTCCAGGCTGAAATGCAATGGCACAATCATAGATCACTGCAGTCTCAGCCTTCTGGGATCAAGAGATCCTCCCACCTCAGCCTCTGGAGTAGCTGGGACTACTATAGTAGTCCATGCCACCATGCTTGGCTAATTTTTTGTAGAGATGAGGTCTTGCCATCTTGTCCAGGCTTGTCTCGGAGTCCTGGGCTCAAGCAATCCTTCCACCTCAGCCTCCCAAAGTGCTGAGATTACAGGTGTGAGCCACTGCACCCAGCTACTTCTTGCAAAGAGATCTGCTCTACACAATTCTCTCCGCTTTCAGGATTTCTATTAATTCTCCAGCCCCTTGTACCTTTGACTCCAGAATGCTGTGAGCCCCAAATTCTGACACTCTTTTTTTTATTTCCCTAGCCCCAACTCACACTTTTGTAATTAATTCCTTTGCTATTTGTTTTCTTTTGGGACCCTGGCTGATGCCAGATCCGATAGGTAAAACAGTCCCATGTGCATTATGTTCCAACCAAGTTACTCCACATTTTCCTGTTCTCCAATCTTGTCTTGCTCTTCTCAAATTCTGTGCCTCTGTCTAAGACTGCCTGTCTTTCCATATTTTGATTTTTGAAATTATACCCAATTTTCATGGCTTCTTTGAAATATTATCTTCTCATATCCATGAAGATGTTTTATTCTTTATGGCCCACTTCTTCCTTCGAACTTGCTCACCACGTTGATCTCTTTTTATGATATTTACTTGACTGTACTTTGCACGTGTTTGTGTAGTTGTCTTATTCCTCCAACCAACTTTTAACTGTTTGTCAAACATCTTTGATTCTTTTTGTATCCTAGCATGATAAGTGGTCTATAGAAGGTTTTAAATGTTTATTGGCTTGATACATAAATATTATATTGGTTTCTGTATACAACTCAGTAGTGAGGATATAGAAGCTTCCCCAGCCCCGACTCTTGGCAAGGTGAGAGACTCTAAGCTTTCCAAGTGGAAGATCAAACTATGAAGGCAGAATAACAGCTATCTTGACATGTTTTTAATTCATCAGCTTCTAAAATACTGCAATAAAATGATGATAATCTCTTTGAAGTAATGAGAGAAAACTGGAATTGTGAAAAACACCTTGAAATAATCTACTTCAATCTCCTCTTTCCATGGAAATTGAGTTTCAGTGCCTTGTCCAAATTAGAAAAAAAATAGAGCTAAAGTTGGATATATTAGGTACATCTCCAATTTCCATTGTATTTTCCATCATTTCTCTTTAGTACATCTTAAATGGACTGAGGCAGCCATGTCAGAGAAGGCTGGAGTGAGACAGACTCGCAGGACTGTGCTTTTGAATGTAATGTCCGCACCAAACTTGGATGGAATCTGCATATTTTTTTCTTTGTTCTACCTTACCTTGCCATTTAAAGCTTTCATAGCCTCAACTGCATCTTCTCGGTTACTGAAGTGCACAAAAGCATAGTCTCGAATTTTCTTCACCCTCTCCACAGCACCTGTAAAATAGAGTGAAAGTTGCCCCATTAACAAACTTAAGAGAGGCCTGAAAGTGATATATTTTAGCACCTAGCTGCAAAGAGTATTGGATTTTTTTCATGGATATCTCATATTTAAGAAAGGATCTCATCAAGAACATTCAACTGAAGATTTTTTTTTGCAGTTTTAAAAATAAAATTTATATTCTGACTTATTATAATTTGTTATGGATTTGTGTTTTCCACTTCCTAGATTATAAGGTCTCTAAGGGTAGGAATTCCATCTTCCTTTGCATCTTATGTAATGTAAAAGATAGTACCTTTTGCATGGCAAAATATTTGTTGAGTTGAACTCAATTATTGATCATTTTACAAACGTATATTTGGGTGATTACTTTTTTAAGTTTTATGCTTTTCATCCCAGCAAAATGTCTTTATCTCTTTTGTCTTATATAATTAACTTTAATTTACTTTTTAAAACTTAAATATTAGGTAACTACAGTTCTGATAAGGTAACTGAGATTTAGAGTCCACACAGAGAGGAACTACAACTGTATTCCCTATATCCTTATCCATTAATCTTTAAATAGAAAAGCAAAAAGAAGAAAAGAAAGTTGTTTCCACAAGAACATCTGGGAACCAAGATAAGTTGCCTGCCTTGCTGTCATGATAGCTAAAGACTGGAAACAAAGTAAATATCTACTATTCTACTTTGAGGAATGTCTCATACAGAAACACTCACACACATGTACAAGAATCATGCATAAGAATATCAATTACACTACTGTTGAAAGAGCAAAAATAAAACAATTTAATGTCTATTTTCATGAGTGATTAAATCTGCTACATTTATACCAACACCAAGGAGTCTATACAGAAAATAGACCTGTATGTGATTACATGCAAAGATTAAAGACGTATACATATATTTTTTTCAGACAGAGTTTGCTCTTGTTGCCCAGGCTAGAGTGCAATGGCGCGATCTCAGCTCACTGCAACCTCCGCCACCCTGGTTCAAGCGATTCTTCTGCCTCAGTCTCCTGAGTAGCTGGGATTACAGGCATGTGCCACCATGTGCCTGGCTAATTTTGTATTTTTAGTAGAGAAGGAGTTTCACCATGTTGATCAGGCTGGTCTCGAACTCCGGACCTCAGGTAATCTGCCCACCTCGGCCTCCCAAAGTATTGGGATTACAGGCATGAGCCACTATGCCTGGCCCAAGATCTACTGTTAAGTTTTAAAAAGTTATAAAATAGTAAGTACAATATTATAGCATTTGTGTTTTTAATAATCCAAAACTGTATATATATATGCACAAAATTTAAATACACTTATACAGAAAGCAAACTGAAAAGATAGAGACCAAACTCTTAACAGGGGTTACTTCAGGAATGGGGAGAAAAGTTGGGAAGAATGAGGGGGATTTTCATATTGTAATTGATATATTTGGCATTTTACAAATATTTGCAAAATTTATTTATGTTATTTGTGTAGAAAACCCAAACAAACCATCTATTTTTATGTAAAGGAACTGCTGAACATGATAGCAACATATAAAAATGAAAAAGATAGTTGTACCGAGATAGTTGGATGTTGTATTTTTAAAATGTTATTGCTTACTCAATTTTAAAAATAGACCTTTTGCTTAGAGTGAAGGTAAGGTGGAAATTTGTTTAACCACTGTTAGTTTAGCATGCCAATTATCTTCTTTTACCTTACACTCACTTGGGTGTACCTTGAGAGTCTAGGGAGACAACATAGGATGAGACATTATTCCAGGGAAAAGAAGAGGGGGAAATCCTTTCTGTCCCTATCAAAGTTTCATTATCCTCTTAGATTCAAGGTAACAAAGGTAATTAGAGTTTTTACTCTCTCACATGGTTCAATGACTAAGAATTATCTTCCTTTGGAATAATAGTGAACCTGTAACATAAGGACAATTTAAAGACATTGTGATACTTCTCTTTACACTCCCTTCAACATTCGACCCTTGACTTCTTATGGCAGTGGTTATACAGAGCAAAATCATCTGGCCAGGCTAAGGATAAATAAAGCTCTCTGAGACCATGAAGCATGGGACATATAATTAACTGAATATCCAATATAGTCTCTTCACTCCTTTCAGTGTCACACAGGGTGATGATCATGACTCAATCCCACGACTCGTTTTTGTAATTGAGAAGAAAGACATTGGCCAATGATGACCTTCACCTTTCCAGTCTTTGCTCAGTTCATATTTCAATGTCATTCTCCACCTAGACTCCCTGGACTGTTATCTCCCTGAGACGAGGACCTGCTTCAGAGACTTTGTGTTATCATCTTCACCTGGTTCCTGTCTACTGCCTTGGACACAGGAGTTACTCTATAAATACACATGGAATAAGGGAATATTATCAGTTAATTCACACCCCAACTTCTGTCATCTACACCAGTTAGGTGGCATTTCAGATGATAATGAATTTAGATTTTCTGAAATTCTGTTTGCAGATATTTCAAATTATCTTACACTGTTGGATAATTTCCAGATGCATCTGGTTTTGGAAAATTTGATATTTAAAAATTTAGTCTTATAAAACAGACAAGTTAAAAAGTTAGAGTTTGTGTCATAAAAGTTGGTTTTCTCCACAATAGCATTCACCACATGGCTTATTTTAATATGTTTCTTCTTTAGTGCATAGGAGTTTGTTTAATAATTATCATTTATGTCTCTGAGTGGCAATATAGTATTATTCAAGTTCATCATGGTTAAAATGATACATGGTCAAATATTTTGAGGTAATAGGTAGGTTCCTCTGAGGGACCTAAACTTTAAATGGAATTTTTAAAGAGTCATTTTCCTGTTTCTTTCCATAAATTTTTCTAGATAAGTATAGCCTTGGCACAGTACATACTTTCCAAGATAAAACAAACTAGTTAGCTCTGACGTTTCCCTCTCAATGCAGCAGATGTCTGCTAGTTGTTCACCTTCAGCAATTCATATTTTTTTTTTTTGCAGAGGGCCAGGAAGAACAAGCCACACATCATTATATAGCCCTGAGAGTTGTGCCACCAGCTGCAGACTATGACCTGAAATCTCTGGACACACTTTAGTCCCAAGAAGAAAGAGAAAGTGAGAGAGCAAGCAACAGAGAGATATGTGATGTTCATTATTTTCACGATAATTAGTAGGATTCTGGCACACATGTCTCTTCAATATATGCCAATACACAGACTGGGAAAGCTAATGACCAGGGACTAGGAAAGGAAGCAGCCTTTTAGTAGTTTCTCATTCTAACCCTTGGCAAAAAAAGGGTGCTGTTTTAATTAGATAAAAATAAGAAGTATTATTCACTCTGGGAAGGTAGAAAGTCAACATGCAATGAGGGGAGAATAGTGGGCAATATTTATACACACACATTATGGTTCCTATGCCTACAACTGCATCAACATTCAGATCTCAGCTTAGATGTCACTTCGAAACACAAATCTTCTCTTCACTCCAAGAGTAGTCTGCCTAAGATGTATTTTTTCTGGAATTTCTTAAACTTTTTCCACGCACACATCATACTTGTTGGTTCCTTCCCCAGTGCCTCGCACATAGGAGCTACTGAAGGAAAGACAGTTGAATGAATGAGTGAGTGAATGCAATAAAGATTGGGCATGAGAGTATTAAAGTTTTTAAGAACATGTCCTTTACCAGATTCGAGTTCAAATCCAGGATCTGCCACCTGCTAGCTGTGTGACCCTGGGCAAACCACTTAACTACTCTGGGTCCTGGTTTTCTTATCTATAAAGTAATGGAATGAATAAAGCAACCTGTATTATAGAGTTGTGATGAATAAATGACACATGCTGTGAAAGGGCCCACTGCAGTGCTTGGCACACAGTAAGGTAGTCCATCGTTTGCAGTTTCTAGCTTAGTCATGGATTCACAGCTGTTGGTGTGGAGCCACACCATGACACTAATATTTCAGGGAAGGCAGAGTTCTTGAGGCTGGAGAAAGATCCTTGGTGAGTCTTTCAAAATGGAGCAGTGACATCCTTACTGTGTATCTTTCAGAGCAAATCATCAGCTTATCATTCTGTTCTATCTGAAATAGCACCCAGAGTTGGAAACAGACAATGTGAGTATGTGCAAGTGAATATTCTCAGGCAGCTTTAACATGACAGTACCATGGCCTATGTTTATTAACAACCTAGAGAATTTGCCAGGAGGCTGGGACATTCTCAGTTATGAAAGGATATTACTACTATGATAACCCTAAGCCACTGCTGCCCAGAGTGTGTTTAAAGACACAGTAATCCCACAAGATGATATGCCAACAAAGAGCAGTCGTGCTTCAGAAATTTGAAAAATGAAGCTTTCTGTATCTCGGAGAATTTCAAAGCATGTCAGAAGGCTAAAGACTGATAAGTTCCATAATGAAGAAATTAATTTAATTTTGCAGAATCTGGTGTTTACAAGTTTATTTGACCATGGAGCACTTTTATCAGTAACATCTACCAAAAGATTATAGAATTAATGTTCTGAACTGTTTTTGGGAAATGGTAATTTGCACATTGTTTCTTGAAATGCTCTACCTCTCTCAGTGTTGTAGCTCCTATATGAAGAAGAAAGAGATGGGAAGTCAATCTGGTGGCTTAGAATTGATACTGAAAAATATTGGCAAGATGAGTAGCAACTAACTATCCTCTTCCACCTTCCCTTTATTCCTTTCCCTTCCTCTTCATTTAAATGAGGTTCCTAGGATTGTCACCTTTTACTTATGTCACAAGTGTATTCCGTTAGGCCAGTGGTTCTAAACTGGGGCAATTTTGCCCACCCATAGAGTATATTTTGCAATGTCTGAAGGCATTTTTGATTATTACATCTTGGAGGTTGCTACTGGTATCTAACAGGGACGGGCCTGGGATGCTGCTAAATATCTTACAATCCACTGGACAGACCCCTACAGCCAAGAGTGATCTGTTCCAAAATATCAATAGTGGTGAGGCTGAGAAACCCTGCATCAGACATATAGTTATGGCATGCATTGTTTATTACAGTAAATATTTATTGAGCAATCATTGTACCCCAGAGCTTAAATGTCCGAGGAAGGAGGAAACAATAAGAGGGGAAAAAAACTCATGAAATTTATAGTTTAGTGAAGAAAATAGGTATTCATTAAATAATCACATAGATAAATATAAAATTATAATATTGATAAATGTTATAGGACCATATGGCTTGATTTTCTAATCCAAAGTTAGGAACATAGTTTGAGAGGTTTGCATGCAATTATGAGATGAGCTAAATAAAAGCATTTCTACTTAAAGTTATGGGAAGTCATCTCAAGCATAGGTGCTTTTAAAGAATGTTTTGAAAAACTAATCTTGTATATATGTCCTACCTGGTTTGATATTGTTGAATTCCTTTTCAATCATCTCTTCAGAGGTAGACAGCATAAGATTTCTTACATATAGGATTTTCACTGAAGACATTGTATCTTCATCAACTTCTACTTCTGGCTCTGCCCAGTCTACTGCAATAGGATGTCCCCATAACTGAATTCTTCCTGTTGAAAATGATCACAATTATGATTAATTATGTACAAATCAGGACAACATCATCTCAGTTTATACCGATGGTCTTTTAAATTGGCCTGACCCTTGAGGTCTTGAATGAGCAAGAAGACCATTAAAATTGGTGAGTATTGATCTTAAGAGACATTCCAAATAAATGGAGTAACTGACTAGAAGGGAGTTCTGTGTGACCAGTGACTTGTTATAACTATTGATTATAAGGGGAACCAGGATGCGGTTTGAGGTTGAACAGAAATGAGGCAGCAGAGGGCACATTTGGCTCTTACAACAACACTCATTGGATGAAGGTAGTCACTTAAGGTAAGATAGCAAAAGGGAGAAAGGAAAAGTATGGATTTAGGGTCCAGATATAGAGTCTGACTCCACAGAACATTAAGAAGGTTACTAGGAAGAGTATTTACTGCTGTTTGAATCTGTGGTGTTAATTAGGCTAAGTACCACAATTGAGATGTTCAAAAGGTGTTTCGGCAAAGGTGGGTGGGGCTCAGGCATCCTTAGCTTGTTTTCTGTCCCTCACACTTGGTCAAGGCTTAGACCAGCTGTGTTCCCTCTTAATCCTCTTTCACAACATGAATAAATCTGGAATCTGGAGACATTTTTAAAAAAATCCTAATTAAGAAGACAGATGACAAGCAATGGAAGAGTCTATGATGAAAAATTTAACTCTTCTGAAAAGGGTAGTTGTTCTCCATGGCTACATATATTTTTGTATTACTATAAACACATTTTATTGAGTGTCTTGTACTGTACCATCTGTTTTTCATGTGCTATCTCAGTTCCTTCTCACAGTAACCCTGTAGGGAAGTGAATGACTCCCAATTTTACAGAATGGGAAATGAGCTTTAGAGAGGATAACTTTCCCAGACCTGTTCTACTTAACCGCCTCCCCCTTTTTTGTTGTTGTTTTGGTTTGGTTTTTTGGTGACTCTGCTCCTGTACCCCTACACAGTGCAGATCTTGTTGAAGTGATGAGAGGGGAGTGAGAGTCAACCCAAGTTCTAAATTTCATTGGAAATCTAGTTTGTTTTTTATTCATTGTTTGGGAACAAACTTTATCCCATAAGCAATACAAAGCTTAAGAGAACAAAGTCAGGAATACTCAGTATTGGTAAGGGTTTATTTGTTTAATTACTACACATGGGAAGCAGTTATTTTCAATAAGAATGTATCTTTATATTCCTTGAAAAGCAGTCAGTAAAAGTGTCCGCGACACTGGCATTCTAAAACCCAAATGAAGAATAGGCATGTCTTAAGAGATAACCGACCTTAGAGAAGCTGGCTCTTGTTACCCTAGCTGTGACCGTCTTGTTCTGTATTGCATTCCAGGGGCTAGTTTTCTTCATTACTCTCTTCCCTTCCCCTTTTATGCTTTACATTAGACTTTTTTTGTTTGTATTATCCGAAGATCCCCAAGATCCCCAAGGCTCCCATGTAACTCTGGTTTTGGTAGCTCTGGTTTTGGCCAAGCTCATCCTTGGCCCCATATTGGGTGAGGTTTAAAAAATAATGAAACCTGGATTCCACCCAATGATGTACCAGAGCCAGTTCTTCTCTACTTGCAAAAATAGATTATTTTTGCATTTCTCCTTCCACGCTTTTTAAAGTTATGATTAGTCAAAATTGCATCTATTTATGGTATACAACATGATGTTTTGATACATGTATACATTGTAAAATGATTAAATGAAGTTAATTAACATATCCATCACCTCACATACTTTTTTTTGTGGTGATAACATTTAAGATCTACTCCCTTAGCAATTTTCGAGTATACAAATACATTAACTATAGTCATATTATACAATAGATTTCCAGAAATTATTCATTTTAATGGAAACTTTGTATCATTTGACGAATATCTCTCCATACCTCTGCCTCCTGCCCTGGTAACCACCATTCAACACTGTGCTTATATGAATTCAACTTTTTAGATTCCACATATAAGTGAGATTATGCAATATTTGTCTCTCTGTGCCTGGCTTATTTCACTTAATATAATGTGCTCCAGGTTCACCCATGTTGTTGCAAATGACAGAATTTCCTTCTTTGTAAAGACTGAATAATATTCCATTGTAACTAATAAGCTCAGTACAGCTGTAAAATACAAAACTAACATACATAAGTAAGTAGCCTTTCTATACACTAACAACAAGAAATCAAGAAAACTGAAAAAGAAATCAAGAAAACAATCTCATTTATAATACCATCCCCCCCACAAAAATACTTAGAAATAAATTTAACCAACAAGATGAAAGATCTGTATACTTAAAACTATAAAATATTGATAAAAAATTAAAGAAGAAACAAATAAATGGAAAAATAGCCTATGTTCATGGATTGGAGGCATTATTATTGTTAAAAGGTCCACGCTACCCAGAGCAATCTACAGATTCCACGCAATCTCTATCGAAAATCCAGTGATGTTTTTCACAGAAATAGAAAATACAATTCTAAAATTTGTATGGGGCCACAAAAGACCTTAGCCAAAGAAATCTGAACCAAAAGAACAAAGCTGGGGTCATCACACTACTTGATTTCAAAATATACTACAAAGCTATAGTAATCGAAACAGTATGATACTGGCATAAAAACAGACATTTAAGCCAGTGAAACAAAATAGAGTCCAGAAATAAATCCACACACTTAAGGTCAACTGATCTTTGCAAAGATGCCAAGAACACACAATGGGGAAGGAACAGCCTCTTCAACAAATGATGTAAGGAAAATTGGATATCCATATGCAGAAGAATGAAATGGGACCCTTATCTTACAACATACACATAAGCCTAGTTAAAATGGAATAAGATTTAAATGTAAGACCTGAAACAGTAAAACTACTAGAAAGAAACAATAAGGGAAAATTTCTTGACATTGGTCTGGAAAATTGTTTCTTGGCTATAACCCCCAAAGCACAGGCAACAAAAGCAAAAATAGATGAATGGGATTGCATCAAACTAAAGTTTCTGCACAGCAAAGGAAACAATCAATGGAGGAAAGAGATAACCTAAGGAATGGGAAAAAATATTTACAAAGCATACATTCGATAAGGAGTTAATATCCCAAATATATAAATAACTCAAACAATCAATAGTAGGAAAACAAATAACCCAATTAAAAATGAGCAAAAAGCCAGGTGTGCTGGCTCATGCCTGTAATCTCACCACTTTGGGAAGCCAAGGCCAGTGGATCTTCTGAGGTGAGGAGTTTGACACCAGCCTGGCCAACATGGAGAAACCCCATCTCTACTAAAAACACAAAATTAGCCAGTTGTGGTGGCACATGCCTGTAATCCCAGCTACTCAGGAGGCTGAGGCAGGAAAATCACTTGAACCTGGGAGGCAGAGGTTGCAGTGAGCCAAGATCATGCCATTGCACTCTAGCCTGGGCAATAAGAGTGAAACTCCGTCTCAAAAATAAAAAAAAAGGTCAATGGATTTGAATAGACATATCTCAAAAGAAGAAATATAAATGACCAACAGGTATATGAAAAAATGCTCAACATCCCTAATCGGGAAAATATAAATCAAAACTAAAATGAGTTATCACCTCACACCTGGTAGAATGGCCATTATGAAAAAGATCAAAGATAATGTTTTCAAGGATTTGGAGAAACGAGAATACTTGCATACTGTTGATGGGAATGTAAGTTGGTACAGCCATTATGGAAAATAATATGCAGGTTCCTCAAAAAAAATAAAAATAGAGCTACCATATGATCCCGCAGTCACCATACTGGGTATATATTCTCCCCAAATGAAATCATTATGTTAAAGAGATACCTGCATTCCCATGTTTATGGAAGCATTATTCACAATTACCATGGTATGGAATCAACCTAAATGTTCATCATCAGATAAATAGACAAAGAAAGTATCAGAATTTTGTGAGCCAGTTAAAGCCACGTTGGTAACTTGAAATCAGCCACAGTGGGAGTGTTAATACCATGGAAATTGGCAAATGCTACAAATCAGGGCTTTTGTTTTTTTCTCTAGGAGCTGGCTGTTAAAGATTTACCAGCTCATTACTGACCTCCGGACTGCCCTTCCCAATTCTGATATAAGTGGGCTGGATCTCAGGAGTTTTACAAGTAGCTTAGTTAATTCTAAAATGCAGCTACAGTTGAGTACTACTGCTCTAGCTTTAGTCTTCTCAGCCTAGGACCATGAACTGCTGCATAAGGCTAAGAGAACAGACATGAGAGTAAATATAGGAAGCAATGATTTCCACCAATATCCTTTTGAAGGCCTCTGGTGAAAGCGAGTGTTACAGAGTGATTTGAGAACATGAACTTGAAGTAAGACAAGTTCAAATGTCAGAACAATGATCCTGGCTAGAAAACATATCCTTTCTAACATCAGTTTCCTTATCTACAACCTACTATTGTTGTGAGGTCAAGAAAAGATGATGCAGATAAGACTTAATAACTTTTAAATGATGATTCAACAATACACTCTCCTTTTAATAATTTTTCCTGTTTTTGTATGTGTATAGTTTTCTCAGAATACGCACTCTTCGAGTGCAATGGTTAGGTACTCCTTTTTTTTTTTTTTTTAGAATCTCTCATGTCATTCAGAAGGGAGCAATATATGTTCTAGATGCTTAATAAATATTTACTGACGGAGCGATTCCCAGGTATTCCTATTTACATGCCATGAAGATGAATACCCAGTATCATTAGCTAATAGATTTAGCTGTGAATCACACAATTTGACTGAAGAATAGAATCATCTGGAAAACTTAAAACACCAGTTCCCTAACTTTATATTCCAGTGATGCAGATTCAATTGATTAGAGGCTGACATGGGTACTAATATTGTTTGAAAACATCAGGTAATTCCAATGTGCAGCCTAGGATGGAAAATCATTGATTCAAATAATGGTTTTTCAAATGTGCAGTCCTGGGAGCAGTAGCATCCTGGGAGCTTGTTGTAAATGCAAATTACCTGGCCTGACACCAGACCTATTGAATCAAGAACTCTGGTGGTGGGATCTAGCAATCTGTTTTATAACAAGCCTCCCAGGTGATGCTGATGCAGCCTGACGTTGAGAATCACTGCCAGGACTTTTCTTCAGAGCGTTCTTAGAATGCCTTTCTAGTTTCTGAGTGGGATGCAGCAACTTTGTCCTCTAAAGAGCTCCGTAAAGGTGAGATTTGTCAAGGGGGAACTGCCACTGTTTAGAGAGGAGGTAACTGGCTGAGGAGCAGTTACATCCCTTTAGACAACCATTGTCTCTGTCTCCAAGTCTGGGTCAATTAAGAAAAAGTTTCTTGTTGTCTTCACTTATCATTTTTTCTCAACAGTCTCCTTGTTCTTTTAAACTAGCTTCTCAAAGGGTTGGCAATTACAGAATTCCTTTGTCGTGGGTGAGTCTGCAATGGGGTAACTGGTAGAATGATCCAAATGGGTGATAGGTTTTGTTCTGAGATCTCATTAGAGGCGAAGGAGTTTGCTCTGGCTGGCTTACTCACCACTGTGCCTCATCTTGTTAGTTTGCTGATGAGTTAGTTGCTGACTAAAATCCAGCTGAATGAAATCCACCTGAGACTGGCTCAAAGGGCCATAGGTAAGGGGGTTGCATTGGATCATGGTGAATATGAGTAGTGGATGGGGAGGGGAGGTAGCCTCCCTATGGTGTATCCTGGACAGAGAATCCACAAGGAAAAGTCAGGACTGTGCTTAAGAATTTCTAAGCTTATCCGACAGGCCCTGGCCAGCCTAGTCAGCTTGACTTACATAAAGAAGTTCCTTAGTGGGCCAATGTGCCATTCTCTTTGAAGAGATGGGGAAGCTTTCAGGAGGTTGAGCTTCTCCGGGATTACTGGATTGTCTTGACCCTGGAAACTGTCTTTCACCTGTTTTGGACCCTCTTTCACTCTCCTACTCCCCCACACCCAAAATTATTTCACATATCTGTTTTCACAGATAATGAATGGCTTCCTACATTGAGGGAGGAAAGTGACTAATTCGGGCTGGAATACTGGAGGCAGGTTTCTCAAGAAGGTACTGGCTGAACTGGGGTGACTGTCACAAGTGAAGGAGGGGCAGGTATTCCTAGTAGAGGATATAGCATTAGAAATAAAGGAGACAGACATAAGCATGGAAGTGTCTAGGTCATTGCGTTGTCTGTCCTGATAGAAGGAAGAGTTTTTATTGGGAAATAGAAGGTAGCAAATATGGTCATAAAAGACCAGGAAATGAATAAAAGGTCTTAAATAATGAAATCACATACTTAGTTCTTATACACAACAAGGAGTTATGAATATTTTTGAACTGGCCAGTTAGTGACAGACATCATTCAGCCTATAGATAGAGATTGAATTCCTGAGATTGAATTCCTACTGTTTGCAAGAAGGTATTGAAAGGATAATAGGATATTTTGGAAACATTAATCTGGTGGTAATGTTCAGGATGGAGAAGTCGGAGGGTGGGGCACATGGAAGAGAAAGCAGAGCTGGGAGAATAATTAGATCTTGAAAAAAATTACATAAGATTTAGAATATGTGTGTTTATACTTCAGTGGTGGCCTGAGAACAGGATGGATACAAAAGACTTTTCAATGGTAGAGTTGTCGATGTTGAAGAAGAAAGAAGAATTGAAGCAGATAGCAAAATACTATGTCCAGGTCACCAAAAAGTATGCCCCCATGAGGAGTCTTAGTCAGTCTATCTATGAACCTGTGATTTTGATGACTTGACTGCTGGCCGGTGAAGAGGGAAGAAGTTGTGAATGAAAGATTCAACATTAAAAATACCTACTTCTGTAAAAGATTCAGCAATCTTTGGAACTGTCTCCTTTTGTTTTTCACTTTAAGTTGCCTTCATGAAGGTATTATTGAAAGATCTTCCCCAAGCTAGAAGCTGTCTCCTAGTTTTGAAGATATCTAGGGGGCTGATCTAGTATTGGTTTGTTTTGAAGAGTGTGTACAAAGGCAACATAAATGTAGACGTCTTTGTTGTGGTTGTTTTGTTTTGAATTCTGGTGGCTCTCTCATAATTTTCATGAGAAAAGTTCATTCCAATATGTCCAGTCTGTCATTCTTGAAATCTTCTTATTTTAGTATTCATTTAAAAACCTGTGTAAGTTGTAGTGAATGTTGTAGAATGAGTCAAGAACCCTAAACAACTTTCCTAAGTTGATCTGACCGAGGCAGTGCTGGGGTGGATAATTTGCTAGTTATTCAACAAATGGGATCTATCCTGTGGTTGTAATAACTAACAAATAAAGGTGACTTTCTAAAGAGAGTTTTTATCTCTCTTCTCTCAAATTAGACAGAAATTATTAGACAACAGGGAGTCATAATGAAAGTATGTCACCTAGTTGTCATTGGAATAATGTATCACTTGAGGTTTTTATTTCTACATTGTAATGGAGAATATACCCTAATTCTAATAAGCCTGATAACAAAATCTATACACAAAAGTAACTGTGATTGATATACTCAATTTTAAGAAGACTCTTTATTCATCGTAGGATTGCTGTCACTTAAAGTTCTGGGTTTCTTTAGTGCATGTAAATTACCCTCAATGCACAGAACGAATATTTTTCAAAACTGAGTCTGTGAAAACTTCAGGGAATGGAATCAACTGTGAGATAGTGAAGAAGGATAAAAAAATTTAAAACGCAACATAATGAAAGATAGAGAGCCAAAAAAATTAAAAATGCTTATTTTCTTTGTGGAGGCAGGCAGGATAGAGCAGAGAAATCTCATCTTTGAGGAGGGTATTGCTAACCTGGTAGCAGTTTCCTCCTTGCCATGGCAGCCGCTCGATGACTCTCATACTCCACAAAGGCAAAGCCTCGGTTTTTGGTTTTATCTGCAGCGCTTGGGTAGACGATGACATCGACAACACCTTCAGTAACCTTTTTCATCTCCGATAAGATTTCTTCTCTCTTTTTGGTTTTTGGGATGCCCCCAACAAATAATCGGCAGTTGTCCACACTGGCACAAACCCCTAAGAGGCGCCCATTTCTGCAAAAAGAGCAGGGATTTTGATTGATGAGAATCCTTGTAGGATTCAGGTTGAAAATGTATGGCCCTGGGCCAGATGTTGCCTGGAGATGTGGGATGTTTGGATTCATAGTGTTGAAACCATTTTTGTAGAGTTGTGGCTTCTTTTGCAAGATTATTAGATGTGTCAATATGTGCTCTACATTTTCAAAGAAAAAAGCTATTTGAAGCTGAGTAGCATCTGCTTTCTTTGGGCTAGATGTGGATTCAAGAGTTGTGAATCCTCGCCACTCCCTGAAGCAACTCTAACACTGAGGCCCCTACACCTAACCCAGGTTACTGAAGCCACCTGCCTGGCCCTGCAGTCACTTGAGTTTGCAACACCTGACATTCCTTTGTTTTTGCAGCCAAAGAGAAAAGCTGTTCTGATGTGACCTCTGTTAAAAACAGTCTCTTACACTTGAACACATTTTCACATATGATCTTATCTGGCCCACACAAAAAGACTGTGGGATGGGCAGAGTAGATGTTATTTCCATTTACAGATGAACTTGAAACGCCAAGAAATTAAAAGACTTGCTTAAAATGTTATAGAATATAAGGAATGAAATCTAGCTCTGGGATCTTAGTTCCTGTTTCTTCCACTGTTCAGAGTTGCTTCTTAGCAAGTTGAGGTATGTACACCTGCACTGGCAGAGTATACATTGATTAAACTATTATGGAGAACATTTGGCAAAATTTATCAAAAGTCTTAAGTGTGCACAACCTTTGACCAAATAAAGTATCTTCTGGGAATATGTCCCTGGAAAATAAAAATCAGCACTAGAATTTATGTTTAAGGATATTTATTACTGCTCTTTAAAATCTCCCCCAAATTGGAAATGAGCAAAGTACCTCACGGTAAAGAACTGGTTTAACGTCTCTCAACTGAGATGTTACTGGATTTGAACTGGAGATTTTCTCATTGCATACCATAGTATGTTTATCATCTCTAGTTCTTGCCTACTACATGCCAACAGTGACCAATCAGATCATTCAAAAATGCCTCCCCACCTTTCTAAATGCCCCCTTGGGTGGACAGTATTCTCCTGGTTGAGGATCACTGATAAACAAAAGACAGGCATTCATACCATTGCATGCTCTGCAGTCATGAAAAAGAGTAACGTAGAAGAATATTTATTGGTTTAAAAAAACCAGTTCACAATAGGCTGTTGGCTTTAAAAAGCTATAAAATAAGTATATGTGAAGACCATTTTGATTAAAAATGTATAGAAAAATCTGGAAAGACAATAAAATGTCAACATAGTGGTTATTTTGGGGCAATGGAGTTACAGAGAAATGGTTTTAACTTTTATTACTTTATGCTTTTTTTTATGTTTTCCATGTGTGACATATTAGGCTGTATGACTTTTGTAATAACACTAAGTTATTAAAAATGGGTGAGGTATGCTTAGCAGAAATGACCCATTTGCAGTGAACACAAGCTCTCAGCCAGCTGCGTGGGCGGGCGATTTGTCTGCTATCCATGGAGCGAATGGCTCTTGGTTTTGTGGCAGGTTTTCTGACCAGGGTTAGGCCACTATCCCAGCTGTCTCCTATGCTTTGCTGAAGAAGCAAGGACTGTGTGTCAGATCTGTGACAGCTCCATCTCAGTCTAGTAAGAATTGTGCCAGGAGCGTGGTTCTCAAGGGCAGGGAAAGGTTGATAAAATAATCTTCCAAGTTTTTTTTTTTTAACTTCATTTAAAAAAGAAAACACCAAAACCTTTTCCACAGTATTAATGTATTTAGAAATTATATTATTTTTGATAGTTAGGGAGCCGGTCATATATCAGCTATCAGCAGGGGGAGCCTAGAATTCCATATTTTATTTTTAAACTGTTGTGGTTTGTCGGGAGCCTTTGCCGGAATTATTTGGAGACAAAGAGCCATCTCCTCTCAAAAGCTGAGGCCACAACTTTAATGTCTCTAGAAGCCAGACATTTAGATGATGATCAGTGAATATTTGATGAAGTAGAAGCTCATATAATGATATGTGGGTGAGAAATGGTGGATAAAAGCAAATTGAAGTTTTCTTCTCTGCATCAAAAGTTCTCTCCCTGGCAGGACTGACCCAAGGCAGAGTGGAAGTAGGTGAGGTTGTCCATGGGGTGTTTATTCTGGTTTGTCTTATTCCATTTATTCTACCCCCTAATTTTTAAGACAACACTCTGCCTTTACCTTGCTTCTGGCATCCAACCCGTTCTTTGACTGGAATCCTGGCCAGTAACTTTCCCTTCCTAATTTCTGTCATATTTTTCCTTTCCTTTTCCCTTCTCCTCCTCCATCATCACCACCATAACCTTCTGCAAACATTCACAGAGCACCTAGTATGTGTCAGCACTGAGATGTATGTACATTATTTCATTTATTTTTCAAAACACCTCATGAGGTAGGTATATTTTTATCTCTATTTTACAGACAAAGGCACTAAAATTCACAGAGGATACTGTTAATTATCAGTGGCCATGGTGGATTGATTGTATTCATTATTCATATCCTATGAATATTTACAGGCCCTATTGGGTAACAATGTGTTAAGTAGATACAGCAAATCCACTTGATTCCCTACAGAGCCAATTCCATATCCATCTCAACTCAGATACCATTTTGGGTATTACTGTTACGATGTCCAGGTTCCATGAAAGACCAAGGAATGGGGGAACCTTCCAATTCTGGAAATCGTAAAACTATAATGTAGCATTTTGTAGCTGTTTCAAAGCACTTTAGTATATATTCTTTCATATAGTGAATGCTCAGAACATCTGTGTTCAGGTGCCAATAATAAAAGTGATGCTCAAAGAGGTTAAAGCATTTGTCCAAAGGAACCTGGGCTGGACCCCAGGTCTCCTGATTCCTACTGCAAACAATCCTCCACATACTACACAAAGCTCTTTCGGGTCTATGGAGGCACCTGTGGGAGGGGAACCTCCTTTATGTTTTCTCCAATACTCTCTTCTAGAATCCAAACTTGGAACTGAATGGTTAGACTACAAGTAGTTGCTGAATCTAGCTGATCTTCCTGTGGCTAAGGAGTTGTTTGCTTGTTTTTTGAGACAGAGTTTCGCTCTTGTAGCCCAGGCTGGAGTGCAGTGGTGTGATCTCGGCTCACTGCAACCTCCGCCCCGCCAGGTTCAAGCGATTCTCCTGCCTCAGCCTCCCGAGTAGCTGGGACTATAGGCACGCACCACCACGCCCTGCTAATTTTGTATTTTTAGTAGAGATGAGGTTTCTCCATGTTGGTCAGACTGGTCTCAAACTCCCAACCTCAGGAGATCCACCCGCTTCAGCCTCCCAAAGTGCTAGGATTACAGGCGTGAGCCACTGTGTCCAGCCCAGGAGTTTTTAATAAAATGAGCCAGTAGTTAATTGATTTACAGACTGTGAGGATAATGTATGACTTCTTTTCATCTTATAGAAAGTGAGAGAAAAATAATTGTGGTAAATCTGCTCTTTCTGCATTCATCAGATTTAAGATCTACCCATTTTAAGGTGCAGCTCTGTTTCACAAAGGGATTAGATATTAAAAAAACTGCATCTAGAATTGATGAACTGTGTGAAAATATAATTTTTAAAAATCATTTGTCAACCTATTACTGTGTTCCAAACACTGGGTTAAGCACTGTAAAGTTGTTATAATATCACTGCAATAAACCTATGAAATAGATAGTATCCCCATTTTATAGATGAGGAAATTGAGGCTTAGAATGGTGAAGTTACTTGGTGGCACTCAAACGAAGCATGGCTGACTCCAAAACTATTGATCTGTAACTGCTGTACTAATCTTCCTCTCACATGGCTCAGGGCTTCATTTAAGAAATAATTTATGACAGTTCCCTCTCCAAGTGAAGGTTTTAGAAATCAGACAATTTCATGATATCAGTTTTATTTCCAGTTTATCAAAACTGGTTATTGGTTGCACAAAGTCAGTTACATGGGACTCTCCCCTAGTCCCATGGTCTTAATTGCTATCTATATTTAGCTGACCCCCAAATTTATATTCCAACTGTGACCTGTCTCCTGACTCCACTACAATGCAGACAGTCACCTTCTCAACACCTCCCCTGGGATGTTCAATGTGCATCTCAAATGTAAAGGGCCCCAAAGAGTCCTTCCTGTGCTATCCTTCCAGTCTTTTCCATTGCAATGGCACTAGCAAGTTCACAGATACTTGGACGAAAATCCTAGGTTTCCTCCCAAAATTCTGAATTCTCTCACAGTCTAAATCCAACATCTAGCCAGTTTTGTGTACTCGATCTAAAATATATTCCAGATCTCACCCTTTCTTATCTTGTCCACCACTGACCCCCTCATCCAACTACCACCATCTCTTGTCCAGATCTGGACAACTGCAGCAGCCTTCTAACTGGTGTCCTCTTTCAAATCTCACTTGCCATAGCACATTCTCAACCCAACAGCAGAGGAACGTTTAAAAAACTGTAAATGTAATCAAAACTCTTTCCTCCCTTCTATTAGAAGAAAATTCAAATTCTTTACCACAGAGACTTCTATACTTCATCTATACTTCCCCACTGAGTACACAGCTCTCCAACTGTATTGCTTTCAGTTCTCCTCTCTACCCTCTCTGGCCACATGGGCTTGCTTTCCGCCCCTCAAACATATCACGCTTGTTTTCACTTTGGGAACTTTACATTTGATGTTCTCTCCTTTCCTGAAATAACCTTCCCAAGGTCTGACTGTCATGACTGGCTCTTTTCATTCAAATCTCAGATTAAGTTTCACTCTGCCAGAGAGTATTTTCTTAAATACACAAAATTAGAGTAGCCACCTTCTCACACAACTTTATCCCATCCCTGTTTGATTTTTTTCATACTATTTTGAGTGATCTTATATATTTGCTGTGCGAGTAGGAAATTATACCTTGATATATTCCCAATATTTTGAACACTGCCCAAAATATATTTATGAAACAGGCAAATTATTAAGTTTTGTTTCTTTGAACACTCATAGAACTTAGTTTGGTACTTCATATAGTATTGATATTAAACAAATATTTAATCAAATTTATTTTTGCCAAGGAAAACTATTAATCTGTTTCATTTCTGGCTTGGCTTTTTTTTGGCATATACCATATTAGATAAACTTGATAGAAAAACAGATACAGGTGCATTGTCTGTTTCACTTTTAATCTAGAAGAGGCAGAGCTTACCTAATTTCATAATTATTAAGTTGCTTGATTGCATTCTTGGCTTCCAGTTTATTTGAGAATGTTACAAATGCATATCCTCTATTGTTGCCATTAAAATCCATCATCATTCTCATTTCATAAATTTTACCGATCTGCAAGTAATAGAAATAGAAAATTTATATGTTTGTACTTCTGAATGTATGTGTGCATGTGCTGATACACACACACACACACACACACACACACACACACAATGTTTTCTGAAGTTTGCCTCCTGCCAGTACTATTTGGCATTTGCATCCCATGTGGAATGGTTTGCATATTTTCATGTGGGTTCAGATCAGTTATCTGATTCGTGAGAGAACTTAAGTTAAATAAAATGTGTCCAAGTGACATTTCAGCCTGAGTTAACAGAATGTGTTTTTAGTAGAGCAAATTACCTTTCATCACATAATTATCTGGAACATCTTAGAGACATGAAAACACATTTTATCATAAGTATAGTTTCTTACACCTGTAATTCCAGCATTTTGGGAGGCCAGGGCAGGTGGATTGCTTGACCCTGGGAATTTGAAACCAGTTTGGGCAAGATGGTGACACCCTGAGTCTACAAAAAACACAAAAATTAGCTGAGCATGGTGGCACGTGCTTGTAGTCCCAGCTACTTGGAAGGCAGAGGTGGGAGAATTGCTTGAGCCCAGGCGATCGAGGCTGTAATGAGCCATAATTGTGCCACTGCACTCCAGCCTGGAAAACAGAGCAAGACACTGTCTCAAAAAAAAAAAAAAAAAAAAAAAAAAAAAAAAGCACTTTTTTGATGTATATGTCCATTCCCTCTAAATTGTCCTCTGAAATCTCCATAGTTTTATTTCCAGTTGGTCCTATTCTATCATTGATCTTTAAAACAAAATACAAGAATGCTCATTCGCCAAACTAACTTCTTAGCTGTCTTTTTCCTCAGCCATGACATCAAAATGAACACAGGTATGTTTCAGGGTATGATCTGGGAGGCTTGTCATTTTCTTAGTCTGCTGGCTGAATATAAATGCTAGCCTAAATGCTACTAACTCAGGGCCAGGGCCTCCAGAGCAGGAGAGCACTCTATTCCCCTGGCTATAGTGACTCTACTTGCCCATATAATACTCCCTTCTACCCCCACAACTGTCCTGCAGCAGTCTAGACTGAGCAATTTACTATTGCTGGCTGCTGTAGGAAGGGTTGCCCAGATAAATATGTTGGGGCATGTCTGGAGAGAAGTGCCATTAAGCACATGCCATTACCTTTGTGGTTGGTCACTTCCCAGCTCAGCCTTACCCTACCCCACCCCCATGTATTCAGTAATGAACACCTATTTCTTCTGGGCTCATTAGGAAAGAGTTTGAGCACGTTTCATCTCTATGTTTCAGGTGTTTCTCGATGTTCATTTTCAGATTCAATGTATAAGATTCTTACAGAATTAAGTCCTCATCATTTGTCCTTGTGCCAACAGGGATTGTATGTGTAAAATTAGGTGCAGTTCTGAATCTGAGGCTGTTAACATACACACACACACAATTTGATTTTGGCATTTAGACAGAGAGCTGAATTATCATATTTACTAAATTTTTCAGGAATTGCTTGTTGCTAAAAACTGCTCGGTAAATTATTAAAAATGAAATTGAATTTCGTATTCTTCCTTTAATTGAAAAGCCATATTCTTAATCTTCTTGATGCATTTAGGTAGATGAAAAATTCAGACTTGGAGAAGATTTCATTCTGGATTATAGGTACATATTGAGCCATGTCAAACGTATACATTCTTTTAAAATGAAAATGTACTTTATAAAATCATATTAAAATGTCAAGCTGGAGCAATATCTAATTGTAGACAGGTTGTTGTAGGATTATTGTAGATGGATAGTTTGTAGTTAGATGGCATGACAGTGGAAAGATTGGGGAACAAGATATAGATTTGAAAGTCATTAGAAATAGTAGAAATTCAAGCTGTCAGTAACAGGACAAGAGCTAGGTCAAGGCAGTGATTATAAAGGGACAATCACTAGGAACTTTGTCCATAATTGACGAATGGTAATTTGAACAGAAACAATCCTTGACCAAAAAGGCTGAGAATGAAAGCAAAGTGAAGAGAATAGTATTTTTCCCTTGAAAGATAAGAAAAATTAAATGTTAAACTTGGACTCACTTTTTCACATAATGGTATAAGCTCATCCTCAAAAAGGTCTCGGGGAAGTTTTCCAATAAAAATTTCACAGCCTCTTTCAGGGGGTGCAGCATCCCAGCCAGGTGGAGGGCCACCATATTTTCTTTGTCCATTTTCCTGCAAATCCAGGGCAGGTGTGAAGGACAGAAGAAAATGATCAAGTCTTTAATTCAGTTTCCTTGAGTATTTTTCAAAATCATTTCACAATAAGGAATGTATTTATCATTGACAAATAATAATAGTGGACTGGTTAAAGGAGAAAAAATAAAACTTTTTATGTGGATTATAATACCACACTCTGTGCTTCAGCAGCTTGCTTGAGATAAACATTGTGAAAACTTGTAAACTGCTAGGCCAATTTTTTTTTTCTTTTTTAATTTCATTAAGTAAGAATACTTAAGAGATCTATCTTCTTACCACATCAAAGAGTGAACAGATCAGGGTAATTAGTATATCCATCCTCTCAAACATTTATCATTTCTTTGTGTTGGGAATGCAAGGAATAGCCTTCTTCTAGCTATTTACAACTACATATTGAGAATATATTATTGTTAACTGTAGTCATCCTGCAGTGCTATAGAACACTAGAACTTACTCTGGCTGAGGCGGAAGGATGCTTTGAGCCCAGGAGTTCATTACTAACTTCTACAACTAATATTTTCAGAAGTTTTATGCTATAACATAATACATGTTGTGGAAAAAACATGGTGACATGTAAAGTAAAAAGAAAAATTATCCAATGTATGACTCTACTCATCCTTAGAAGTAGTTACTGTTTAAAATTTCATAGGCCTTTTCAAATATTTTTCTATGTAGATTGTTAAAAGACATACGTTAGTTGTTTAAAGACACTGTTTTGTATGACAGTTGTTTGTTGTTTAAAATTGAAGTAAAGCAGCTTGTGGTGTCCCTGTTAAATCTTCATATACACCAACTTGAGTCTTTCTCAATTATTTTGTAAGTGTTAGCACAAAGGTTCTTTGGATCACATTATTTAATTGATGTCTGTGGTGTCTGTGGTCATGATCACTTTTTTATTTATAATAATTCCTACAACGTTTTTAAAAATAGTAATTTAAAAAATGTCATATGAGTCTTCTACTTTACCTGGATTCCTTTTTGTTTGTTTGTTTTAAACAACTCAGTATGTTTTTAATCTAACTGAATATTTAAATTTTTGCCTAGAGAGTTCTTGTATTTTTTTCTTACCCTAATATTCTTGTCCAGTAGTAAAACTTTGATATCACAGAGAAACCTGAGAAATGGAAGTCTTTATGCTTATAGAAAAAACCCCAAACCTTGGTAATTTAGTGGTTTATATCTCAACCAATAATTACCTTAAATATGTGCAATCGATATTTTCAGACACATTTATTTACTTATTTTCAAACAAATACCTATGTAACACTTACTATATGTCAGATATTGCTCTATCATTACTTAATGTCATGGATTAAGGACTGTTATTATCCCATTTACATAAGGTACCAAAGCCCAGATAAATTAAGTAATTTGTCAAAGTCACATGGTGGGGAAGTGGAGAAGCCAGAATTTGAACCCAGGCAGTCAGGCATCAGCTTAATTTCTCCGTTTTGCTCCTTTGATGTATGGAAGCCACTTACAACAGATACATACATTAAAATATTCCCTATTGGTGTGGCATGGTGGCTCACGCCTATAATCCCAGGACTTTGGGAGGCCGAGCTGGGTGGACGGCTTGAGCCTAGGAGTTTGAGACCATCCTGGCCAACATGGTGAAACCCTGTCTCTACTAAAAATACAAATATTAGTTGGAAATGGTAGCACATGCCTGTAATCCCAGTTACTTGGGAGTCTGAGGCATGAGAATCACTTGAACCTGGGAAGTAGACGTTGTAGTGAGGTGAGATGGTGTCACTGCACTCCAGCCTGGGTGACAGAGCGAGACTCTGTCTCAAAAAAAAAAAAAAAAAAAAAAAAGAGAAAAAGAAAAAAGAAAAGAAAGAAAGAAAGAAAGGGCTGGGCACAGTGGCTCATGCCTGTAATCCCAGCATGTTGGGAGGCCGAGGTCGGCGGATCACTAGGTCAGGAGATCGAGACCATCCTGGCTAACACGGTAAAACGCCGTCTCTACTAAAAATACACAAAATTAGCCGGGCGTAGTGGCGGGCACCTGTGGTCCCAGCTACTCAGGAGGCTGAGGCAGGAGAATGTTCTGAACCTGGGAGGCGGAGCTTGCAGTGAGCCAAGATCGCGCCACTGCACTCCAGCCTGGGCGACAGGGCGAGACTCTGTCTCAAAACAAACAAACAAAACTCCTTATTTATGAAAAAATATATCATGCCATTAAATAGTAAATTCCCTACTACAATTTCAAATCATTTTAATTTCCAATCATTTTATTACATAAAATATTTGGAAAAATGTATCTCATATTTCTAACCCCAAAATCCGAAATTCAAAATTTTTCAGTGTCAACATCATGCCACAAGTAGAAAATTCCACACTTGGCCTCATGTGAGGGGTAACAAAATTATTAAAAGCATTGTATAAAATCACCTTCAAGCTATGTGTGTAAGGTGCATATGAAACATAAATGAATTTTGTGTTTATACTTTAGGTCCCATCCCCAAGATATCTTTATTATGCATATGCAAAAATTCTAAAATTAAAAAAAATCTGAAATCCAAAATACTTCTGGTCCTAAGCATTTTGGCTAAAAGATACTCAACCTGAATTGCCAAATTACCATCCTCCTCCCTGGACAAACTCCATTTGGGTGACAATGATTCCTCTGAGCCAATTTTTGTGTATCTTTGATGTGTATAACATTCAACAGATTATAGAAATAAATTTACTATATATTCGGTGGTATTTTTACCCTTCAAGTTGAGGAAACCAAACTTTCATTCCATAATAGTAAAGTGGTAATTCCAGAAATTCTGCTTTGAAAAGCTTTGGTAGTTTGAAAATAAATCGACAACCCTCAGATTGACCTTTTAAAATGTATCTTCAACTTGCTTGATTGCTATAATTGCTGAAAATGCCAACTATTTATACGTAAGACGTGTAGAGCAGGATTTACCTGCTTATAATCTGAAATAACTGGGCAAGAAAGAATATTAATTGTCTTTGTTTTTCATAAACACATGAAAAAAATCTAAAGAATATTTTTTGAGACTGTAAAGAGTCTGACCAGTTCAGGAATGCCCTGCAGTTCACTCAGTGGGGGAGATTTGCTCTGTGAGCCACCCACTGGTTGGAATGTACCAGTAATGGAAGTTCAGATCAATTTAAGACAGGCACTGGGCATTAGTCATGGGGTTAGAATAGCTGTCCATTACTCAGAAAGGACAGTTGGGTTCTGGGTTGCTAATATGTCAGGCACTATTTTCTCAGTTGAGGAGTTTAAAATAGATAAAGCCCAGTTATAACTGGTCTTTTCCCTCCTAGCTGATGTCTTCCTCAAGGGAAGCATTCTCCCCAGCAGCACAAATGTATTAATAGTTCAGACTAAAAGAATATAGATTTTTGCTTTTCATGAGAGAATGTTTATTAAACTCTGAAAACTTTTATTTTTCCAATCAAAGACTTAGAAACCTTTGTCTCTCTAGAGTCATATACAAATAGGTGGAAAGTCTTCACCTATGTAAATTAACAATTGAGGACACAATTTCTAACTATAAATCTAGTGGCTTTAATTTAAATATTGGATGCTGAGCCTACCCAATTACTCAGTTTATATGTTAAGATTACTTGGAAATTTCCTCCTATCACAGATATTTCAAGTCCTTCATAATGGAGCCATTGAGTCTTCAAGAGATTATGTCTATCATCTTCTTGACCTTGGATAAAACCCACAAAACCTTCCTCAATAAATCATTCTAAGCCATAAGTCTTAGCATGGAGGTTGAATGAACTGAGTTAATTTTGGCCACTGAGCATTTGAACTTGTTATATACCTGGGGAATCTGGGCAAAAATTGCCTTCTCCTATAGAACTTAAAAATGACAGACACTTGATTTTTCCAGCCTTCCTTGCAGCTGGGGCCATCATGGTTATTGGAAAACCATGGTTTCCTTTACTAAACCATGGACAATCATGGTTTCCTTTACTAAAATTGAGTTCTGATGCAAAAGTCACAAATGATGCAAACTTTAATTTTGAGCATTCTGTGATGGTAGATAACATTTTCTTATCGTGACAAATATGTGATGTGGTTTTGGGTTTTGTTGTTAAAAGCTTACCCTTGAATCGGATTCTCCACATCTAAAGTTTCTGTGAACCAGTATCCTTTCAATAAACTCTTTCCTACTTAGCCAGTTAGAGTTAGCTTCTGTTAGTTGCACATAATAGTAATGGCAGCAAAAACAACTATCTCCAATTGAATTAGGTATTTTGCTGAGTGTTTTACATTCATTTAATCTTCTGAACAAATCTATGAGGATGCTACTACTATTATTTTCATTTTATAGGCCAGGAATCCAAGGCATAAAATATGTCCAAATTCATACAAGCAGTAAACAGAAGAGACAAAATATGAAGACACTTGTAGTTACATTATCTCTCTTTCATTTTTACATTAACACAATATACTAATTTTATAGAGGAGGAAACTAAGGCCAGAGGTACATAAGTTGTCTAATATCACACTGGTTTAATTTATTGTAGAAAACACTAGAATAAAGGTCCTATCATTGATTTTTCCAGGCTTCCTTGCAGTTCTCAATTTGGTGAACTTTATGGCCTATATAGTATTCAAAAATTGTGATGATTATTCTTCTCAGGCTTACCAGCCTCTTAAATCCTCATGTTGTGTGTTACATTTATTTTCCTGCTCAACTTCACCAATCATGGACACCAGATGTTTACTGTTTCCCATAAACAAGCTCATTCATAACTGGAAGGACATTAATTAATGAACCCTCATTCAGCCTGTTTTTTCCTGAGTAGTAATTTCAGTCTCTTTAATGGTTCTTTGGAAAGTTCATATTTCAAGTTTGTAATCATCTTTGTGGTTCTCTTTGGTTCTTTGTTTCTTTTTTCCCCTCTCCGTAAGAGGGAAGAAACTGTGTATTTTTCATAACTAAACTTGTTTCAGATGTTTTCCTATGCATTTTCCAATTGACCAGGTTTGT